TCCAACCTTAAGGTTCAATGGAGTCTCTATGATTTTGTTCTAAGCTCTATATCTCTATGTATCAAGCTATGCTAGCCTCAGCAATTTGTCATGTTTAACTGTTGGTTATTTATCTCATTTCTTTTTCCAAAAGCCATGCAATTTAGGAGTCATATAGTGCATACAAGGTGCTTAATATCCTATACCAGGAATCAATCTATTACACTGCTGCTTATGTTCCTGTTTTGTCTATATTATATTACATGTGTTCATATAGATGCTTTTCTTGTTGTAATGTTGTGGATAACTGTGATAAATTTGTGTCTTGCAGGTGTTACAATTTGTTAATCATATAAGCTATTTTCTACACACAACTTGCCACAATTTTTTTTATTTTTGTTTTTTGTAAAGTCACGGTTCATTAATTTTGAGTGTAAATCTCGATTAATATACGTATAGTATTAAAAAAAGTCCTATTGATACGTAGTAAAAAATTCTTATTGTTACAGAGTATAAAATAGAACATAGTCACCGTGAAATCTAGTAATAAAAGTATATAACCCTCTTAGCTATGTTCAATTGATGAAGTGCTATTAGTTAATTAATTAACTAACCCCACAGATTTGTTGTGATGTTGTCATCAAAAAGTCAAGATTAGAAGAGTTTGCTTATTATATATACTTGTAGACTTGTAGCTAACAATAGCTTATATATACTTATAATCTAATAATATAAGCACTGAAAAGACAAGCTAAGAGAGTAAAAATATCCGTAGAAATAAAACGTGTTTTTGACCAACTCACTGAAGATGCCATGCGATTGATGGAAAATGGAGATTACAGTTGAGCACTTTGTTACTTGTGTCTCTGATTGTTAGCTTTTGATTAACTATTTTATGTTTCCATTTTGCAATAATTATAAGTAGCTTAATTCTTGACTTATCATTGCAGATATTTATCATGAAGAGCGAGAGGATTTTGTACGTGAGGCAGGTTTGTATTTTAAGTTGCCAGCCTGTGAATAAAATGAAATCTTTTATTATGTATTTTTTTAAATATTATCTGGCTGAGAACCCTTGAATGTTATTAAATTAATGTGATTTCTGTTGTATACATGGGATAGTTGAATAGCTGTTTTATGCATGATGAATTGAGGTCCTCTTTGTGTGAACGTCTTTCAAATTGGTATAATTTTTTTGAAGGTAAATGGTTAATTCATGTTTTCCTGTTTGCTTTTGTGCACTCCTTTTCCCTTTACTTTTTATTAGTGTGTCTATACTCATCCATATGTCTAGTTTTAGTATTTCTGAGCCGAATAATGACACCTCTATGCCTAGCGTGGACACAAGCACTCAGATGGTGTGGAAAATGGTAACCAAGATTCACAAAGTATGGTTAATGTCCATATGATCTATTTCCTTATGTTTACATTCTTAAATAAGAATATAATAACATTGTTGGTGATATAATTCATTCTCATTTATTTTAGGTTCTTGGGCTGGGCAAAGTGATTATGTATACGATGAATCATCGGGGTACATTCTTACACCTTAATACTATTTCCTGTATAACCTGTGTATCTTCTTTTACAGTCCTTACTGTCAGAACTTGTTGAGATTTAATTTGAGTAGTTTTATGAAATGTATCTTCTGTTGACACAACTCTCAATGCACAATCACATTTTCGATTCCCATCTGTGATTAGTTCTTTGGTGGTGGCTTGGTTGTGCTTATTATGCTTCTCAATCGATATCCCAGGTTTATACTTATTATCAACATGGTAGTAAGAGTAGGGCCAACCCTTCTGTTTCAATTTCAGAGAAAAAAAGAACCATCCTTTTTTTTTGAGTGCACGATTCTTCTTTTGTGATTCCAATTATTTTGGAGTTGGTAATTGATATAGGATTTTGGTACTTTACCAAATTGGAGCTTTACCTAAACTAGGCGTTAGCCATATTGGCCAATTTATTTTTGCTAAATTATTACCTTATGTTGCTATGACAGGAGATGGACTTGATTGAAGAAACTTTGAACACTGAGCTGCGAAGAACTCTACCAGCATCAAGTACTAGTAAAAGAGGTGGATATTAAAGCTAAAGAAGATGCTTCTTAAATTGCTTTACTTGAGAAATTGGAGAAGCAAAGAGAAAGAAATGATAATGTGGACCAAACAATTACTGAAAATATTGTTGGGGGACAAAATAATTTAGTTTTAACTTTTAATTGTTTTTTTTTTTCTTAGTTTAACTAGTGATAATTTAAGTTTTATAATTTTCCTTATGGATAACAATGTACAAACTTTCAATTAATAATAATAAAATTATAATCAGAATTTATTATTATTATTATTATTATTATTATTATTATTATTACTATTATTATTATTATCAGGTATAGGGAACCGTGGCATTAGGGTACATGCATCGTGGCATTAGGTGTAGGAAACCGTGGCATTAGGTATTATAGATAATGCCACGGCAATAGTGTTGATGTTGCAGTAGTTATTGATCTAATGCAACGGATCATTGATGCCGTGGCATTAGGTGTCATATGTCGTTGCATTAGACCTATTGCAACGCCAGCAGATGCCACGGTACATGGTCGTTGCATTAGGCCTAATTCCACGGATATTGATGCCTAATGCCACGGATTTAGGGGTTGCAATAGGTCAAAATTGTAGTAGTGCGGAGAATTAGAGGAGAGAGCTCATAAAATTAATAAGATATGATAAATGGTTGATTCACTAAGCGAGAGAATTAATTAAATATTGTAAAAGCTTTCCAAATATGGAAATGAATCAAGTATTTAAAAAACGACCGGAAAAGAAAAGTGGAGAGTATTTAAAAATGGAGGGAGTATTAGCTATGATTAATTTTGTACATACAAAATATTAGAAATATAGTGATAATAAAACTCTATACAACATTTTTATCTTAAAAAATCTATCCAAAACCGCTAACTTATTATCATGTGTCACAATAATACATTTTTATCGCCTATGTCACGCGACACTTGGAAAAAAACTGGAATGTCAAGTGTCGCAGTCTTAATTGTGGCCTGGCTACGAGACTGGCTCAATATATAAATTATATGATATGATATTGTAGGGAATATTTTAAGCGTTAATCCCCTAGCTTGAACCCCACCATGATCATACACTAAAGTACGGTAGCGTCCAAAGGGAAAGAAGATAGAGCAAAAGAGTCGCCAACAAGTTTTAGGAACTTGTAAACCGTTCACGAGGTGAAGGTTACACCCCTTAACGATCCAAGAGATCGTCAACTCCATAAGGTCTTGAACCAAATAGGGTTCGGGGATGAAGGTACAAATCCAACCTAAAAGAGATTGAACCTGCCCTAATAATAGGCCTCTACTTTATTCATATCGTATTCATGTGCGCTTTTTGACTAACATACAATCAATAGGATTAACCCTAAACCTGTTTAACTATGTTGGTTGAATATTAATGCACAAATAAAACTATTATTGACGATCACTTGAATTATAATCAAATTAGCCCTAAACAAGATTATTAATTATCTTATTAAGCGTGATTACAAATACAAATTCCCTTTAAACATGCATAAAAAGGTGTGATCAAGCAATAAAAATAAATATCATCAAGCAACATAATAACAATAAAAAAAAAATAATAATCATAAATATGTTAAAGCATAATAATAGCAAGATCCTGGGCATGATACTAACAAAATTAATAACAAACCCTAGCATGTCACTAAACATAAAAAATCATATATTTAACCCTAACATGATACTAACATGAATAAATATTAGAAAGAACATAAAATGCGTCATAATAATCATACTTAATATTAAATTTACCTTAGACATGATACTAGGAATCAAAATAATAATCTAAGCATGAACTCTATATCATAACATCAATTAAAACCCATTAAAGTACTTACTTTGATGCCTCGTACCTCTTTCTAATAACAAAATACACACGTTAGTAACTTCAAGGAAAATAATAAACAAAACAATTAAATTAAATAATTGAAGTAGAGATTTGGGACCAAACCCTCAGAAATTAAACCTTTCACGTCTAGGGCGAAGGCAACTTCGAATATGGCTAGGTGTATCTAGATCTAATAAATGCGGAAATTTTGTATTTGAGAGAAGCTAGTTTAGAGAGAGAGAGAGAGAGTAATAAAGAAAACTTGATGAGAGTTGGTGAAAATAGAGAGAATCGGTGATTGTAGGTGAATATTGATGATTGTTGATGAATGTTGATGAATGTAGGTGAAAACTGATTATCGAAAACGGAGTTTTTAATACGTTATTTATAGAGAAAATCAGCCAAAAAGATAAAATATCAAAACAGAGTTCTGGCGCAGATAAAACTGAATTAGCGCCAACGCTGGCTATTGGCGCCAAGCGTAGCGCCAGGCGCTACAGCTGGCGTTTGGCGCTAATTTGGAAATTTACGCGTTTTCAAAATCAGATAAAAATTGCCGTACAGGAGGATAAAATCGTATCTTTCCTCAAAAATGCTATTTGATTTTAATTAAAATTCTGAAAAGTCAACAAAAGTCAATTTATCAATGCTAATTGAATTAGGAATGAAAAGAACCTTCTAGAAGACTAAAACCATTCTTAATTGCATTAGGAATTCCTAATTGCATTAGGAATGATAAATCTATATTAGGCCCTCCCCTAGATCATTGGGCCGCATATAAGCCTCAAACCGAACCCAGTTTGGTAAATTGGCCATAACTTCCTCAATATTCTTCGGAATTAGGCTTATAATATATCGTTGGAAAGCTCTTGTCAAGCCCCATCCAACTACACTACTATTGGACCCATATCATAGACCAACCAAACTGGATTGACTGTTTTCTTAAAATAAGTTTTCAAAAATAGAGAGAAGAGAAAAGAAATTAAAACTATCCGCAACACTACACTTTCCACACTTTCACTTCATTCGATTATGATTAGACGTGAAAGGTACTCATCACCGGGTTTGGTTTTAGGGAGACAAATGGGTGTCTACAGATATCAATGCCCCGTAATTAACAAGTAGCAACATTACATATTCACTTGTCTATATTCCGTTATACATTTATCCTCACACTAACATTAACATGTTTGTTGATCTTATTACATAAAAAAAAAAAAAAAAAAAAAAAAAAAAAAAAAAAAAAAAAAAAACCTCTATCAACAATGAAAAGGATATTTCTTTGGGTTTTGTCTTAAAGTAATGTTCATATCAACTTGTAGCAAAATGAAACCAAATTTGATTTTATTGAAAGTGATTGCGTACACCACAACGAACCAGTGAGCATGAACCCACCAACATATCTTGCAAGCTACTTGATGACAAATCCCAAAAATGATTATGTTATGTGTTGTAGTGTAGATGTACCACATTCCTATAATGAGGGTGGAACCCATATATATCCATGAGTTTGAGTATAACCAGCCTTTTCAAGTAGGGCATCTGCCTCAGCCGGGCCTCGAGTTCCAGCCTTATACGGAAGAGACTTCAAACTTCCACGGTCAATTCTATGTAGAAGCGGTGTAAAGATCTCCCATGCAGCCTGAAAGAGATAAAGCTTTCAGCTGTTTACTTTTTTTGAGGGAACCTTTATGCAACTACTTTTTGTCAAGAAAGAAGGAAAGATGATGAAAGTGTAAGCTCTTCTTACCTTCAACTCATCTCTGCGGACGAAATGCTGTTGATCGCCTCTAATTCTGTGGTAGAAAGTAAGAGAATCATCAGGTAATGTACGGAAACATATTAACATCTCATTAAAATTGCTCCTTGCAATTGAAAGGGAAAGGTCTCAGTCTCTTAGACTTGCCCTTCAAGATTTTCCTTAGTTCTTCAAAGTTGATGTATAGCAAACTTTTCATTATTACTCACCATAACCCGAGAAAGTTATTTTGAATAGTCCATGACATTAAAAGAACTAAAACCATATCATCCCAAAATCAAGGGTTTGGGGAGCAATTTTTAATTCAAGGTATAAGCAAGGTTATCCTGAAAGGCCTTATGTTAGTTTGTGTGGTTGTTACATTCAAGTTGACATGCACTATACATTCGAGTGATCCAACCAACAATTTACCATTTATACACTTAACCCAAAGTTGCTAGGTTGTGTGATGTTTGTTTAAATCAAGTTGAAATAAACTGTACCTCCGATTATCCGAGTAATCTTGCCAGCAAATTATATGTATATACCCATTCCACAATTTACCAACCTGACCTTTGGACAAGTCTATTTTTGAGAGAGTTTAGCTTCACTGGCCCTCAATAATAAAGCACCAAATTTTTCATGCACCTCTTGCAAAAAGGCTAAGAATTATCAGCATCTATAGAATTATGTACGTTATTTTAAGTTTAACGGCTCTTACGTGTCAAGAATTAAACGCTCATATGCCTCGGGAATAACAACTCCCTGATATCGCTGCTTATATGATAAATCCAGTTCACTTTGTACAGTCGACATTTCCAGCCCTGGCTGTTTCACCTGTTGAGAATAAACCGGTATACTTAAGTAGACAGGAAATAATCAAGTATTACAAATCATTACAAAAGCACCTAACTTAATGAAGTTCCTTATTAATATTGACAAAGATTTCCCTCTCCCCAGGACATTTATAAACTTGAGATTAGACCAAAGCTAATTTATCCATTCACATACCGTAAGTTTCATATAAATTGCTTCGGAAGGTTGTAGTCTCATCACAAATTCATTTCTTCCTTGCTTTTCACCTAGAAAAATTATAAACAGCCAAAAAATGTTACAAGTGATACCAAATTCAATTGAAATAAACACACAGAAAGTAATATATCTAGTACAAGTAACAAAAGAGCAAGGTTTTTAGATGGTAAAACAAATCTTTGACTAAAAGCAAAAATGAAGGACATCAAATCAGAAAGTCTCACGAATGATAATGCCGGAGGAGGGGGAATGTAATGAACTAATGAATATGAGGATTTAAATTTAAACAAATAAAAATTAAGGGAAATTTCATAAGGTACCCTTGTAGTTTAAAAGAATGCACAAGATACCCACATTGCCACAGCCACACAGATGAAGTTTTATTATTTATGTTCTAACTCTCTTCTTCATTATTTCAATGAGACAATGAAGGTCCTGTTGCGCCCTCTTTAAAGTGAGGCGCACAATATAAAAGACGCGCCTCTTTGAAGTAAGGCGCACAATATAAAACAATCAAAGAAGTTTGCCTATGTGCTCCTCAGGTGCGCCTCATGTGCCTAGCAAAAAAGACGCTCTACCCTAATCGCCTACGCCTCAGTGCCTAAGTGCTCCTTTTTATACACTGATTTGGTCAACCAGACTTTGGTTAAAACTACTTCATAATTACGAATAATTAGGTTGACAAAATAAATATGAAGGGTACATCAGCTTTTAGAACTTAATTTTTCATGACCACCAATCAATGTTTCCTAACTTTATAGGTGAAATTTTGGGTGGATATTTTTTTTTTTTAAACCAAACCTTAAGGGTAACTAATGCATTCTTCTAAACCACAAGGGTATCGCATATTCTCATGATAATTCCCAAATAAACTCCATTGTAATATTTAATAGTTATAGTAACCAAGAACCAAAATCCAGCATATAGTATCAATTTGTTTCAAACAAAAGCACCAATTAAACAATTACACTATACAGATTAAATAAAATAATAATAATAATATATATTTATATATAAAAAAATAAATAAATAAAAGATACGTCAAATACTTCCTCGATTCCAAATGTTTAACTCACTTTCTATTTTGGGTTGTTTTACAAACTCCAGTTCACTTTAGCTTTTTTTAAGTCATTTTTGACAAACCCCTTTAATTTGCCTTACCCTTCCTACGGTCCTACCAGACAATTATTTCAACCTTTCCACTCTCTCTTACACTAATCAAAATTTTCTTACACCTACTAACCTTTTAATTTATCTCTATCATGGTATCCATTTTATTCTTACACCCACTCATACAAACTTTTCTAGAAACAAGAGTATACATTAAGTGAGTCGAACTTTTGAGAATAACTGAAGATATAAAACAAAAGGCTGAAACTTTATCATAGTTGGAACACAACAGTAACTATGAAAGAAAATTTAAAAGCAACATAACAATTTCAAAAAATATTGATGTTTTCCAAATTAAACCAAAAATCTTATAGATTATTTTGGCCCTAATAAGAAATTAAGTTCCCAAACTCTTAGAATAATGACCAATAATTGATAATCATTTAGATTTAAGCACCAGGGTCTTGGAATATTAATAGATTACCTAGAAAACTACCGTAGTCATCCACTCATCCTTAATGCAATGTATAAAAAAAGCTCATGGCATGCTGAAGCAATAAGGATTATGCAGCGCCTAGGTGCGCCTGAGTGCACCTCTTTGAAGTGAGCCGCACTATATAAGCAGTAAAAAAAATGGTAGAAATTTGCTTCAGGTGCGCCTCGGGAGCCTAAACTGCGCCTAATTAAAATCGCCTCTCCCAGGCCAAAATAAGCACTTACCTTCTATCGCCTTGCGCCTCAGCGCCACTGCCCTATGTGAGCTTTCAAATGCACGGTAATTGCTTCCAATGATGGAATGGGATACTCCCCCCTCCCTCTTTGATGCTCATATATTTTGTAAAAAAAATGGAAGAAATTGAAAAGATTGTTAACAATGTGAAATAATCTATGTCAGTCGTTAATTGATAAATTGCATGTATAACCTTCTTGGAAAACTGTTATCAAAACCTTGAAAATAGTGGTTAATTATTTGCTTTTTATTTAGAATTAGCAATTGAAGCATGAGCTTGGATTTTCCCTTTAGATGATTTTATCACTTGGATGTCCTTCTTGAAGGAAAATTTTTCACTTTGGCAAACAGAACATTGTCATGTTGATTAGTCAACCATTCACTCGTGCAGACCAGATCAACACAAATATGAAAATCAATTCAAACAGCCTGGTATATGTGACTGTGTGTCAGTGTGATATTTTAGCAATAAAATAAGATTTGGGCTAACTGAATTTAAATGTTTCAACGAAAAATCTGTATCCTCCTCAAGCAAGAAAAGAAGCCAAACCAGAGTGGAGGATCAAGCAGATAGAGATGACAAAAGAGTTTGCTGTTCAAGGTTGGAAGTAGCGATTGATGAGTCCAAGTTTATCATGAAATAAAAGGCATTAGAGCAGTGATGAGGAAAAACCCATATTAGTAGTCTTTCAATATAGATAGTGCATCTACGCAAATGCAGAAAACTAAAAATATTCTTGAGAAATGCCAGGAAGTACGGTAGAACTAGCATGATATTTTGAAGCAGGTGCTATTAAAAGGAAAAGTATAAAGTAACTTTTTATGGGTTCAACTGAATGTTTTACTTTTCTACACACCAGGAAAGCTCTAAACAGCAAACAGCAAGAAGTTAGGCACTTCTTGAGGCAAACTAGTATGCTAATATTCCTAGAACTTAGAGCTAAAATTCACAAGGCATTGGCAGTTGCTAGTAAGACAATGCCTGTCTTGGTATGCTAAACCAGAGAATGGAAGACTTAGGATTACAGATTATGTAGGATGTTGACTACATTAACATAGAAAGGTACTAGGATTCAGATAAATATATTGATGGCAGGACTAGAATAGACTGGCAAAAAGAAAAGTTTCCTTCTGGCCTTTGGAATCAATGGCTGAAACTACTTATAGTTCTTAGCTATTTGATGGAGTCAAAGGCCCTTCTTCAGTGGGGTTTGGCAAATGTAGAAGTGGGTAATGGCTGACTTACCTTCTAATTAAGGCCTGAGGGTATGATTATAACTAGTGTAATAAGTAAAGCTGATGGTGTCATTCACAGATTCATTTGTCTAGAGTGGATAATTCGGTTGTTACTCTACTTTCAAGTTCAAGGGCTTCTGGTCCCAAACAGAACATCTATGTCTTGAATATTACAAGAAAAAACTGGACAAATCAAGCTCACTTCTTTTACTTCTCAGCTTCAATTTTATTTTGCATGAAGCATTGAATGATTTATGTAGCAATTATTATATAGGTTCAATGATTCATAATCTATATTCTTGTCACCCTCATTGTCTTCGTGCCGCTCAAATTTTCTTGCATCCACTGTTTCTTTTATATATAAACACATCATCCACAGGTGGTGTTTGATATAATTGTTGGCCTTCCAAACAAATATGGTTCAGTTTAACATCAATTACAATGCTACCCTACCTAAGAATCTTATAATAGATACTAGGCCCCTTATCATTGATGCAGCATACGATTAGACATTCACATGAACAGGAAAATAATATAAAGGAGAAATTTACAAAATGATGACATACATTTAAATATATCACCGGGAACATCCTTGAACTGAACACGGATTTCAGCTTTTCTTGAATTCAATGCTTTCCCTGCTTTTAGTATAAATGGAACACCTACAATACACAAGTGTTCAGAAGAATGATTTATGAAACACACAAGTGTTCTGAAGAATGATTTATGAATGAGCCTTGGGGACAATCACATGGGCTCCCTCATCAAGATGATTTTCAAGGTTTAATTGAGTAGAAATCTCAAGCAATCAACAGAAAAAAAAAAAAAAAAAAAAAAAAAAAAAAAAAAAAAGCAACAATTAAAAATAATAATAATTATCAATAAAAGATTACGGACAGGAGTTTAACAAGTCACACCTTCCCATCTTTCATTGTGTATCCGCAAAATCACAGTCGCAAATGTAGGTGTATTTGAGGTTTGTGGAACCATTGGGTCATCTTTGTAGCCTTCATACTGCCCAAGAACAACTTCTTCATCCTTAATCAGATTAACTGCTTGGAGAACCTTTAAAAAAAATAAGTATGAAATTAAATCATACAGAAAGGCTGAATGTAGATTAATGAAACCAAAGTACTGATGAATGATAAAAACACTAACATGCAGGCATCATATCATATTATTCCTCAATGTATTTGTTTAAGGTCAATCATTATAGGGACTTATAAATTCTTGATTTGGTATTCTTTTGGTATATTGTGACATGTAATATATGTGAAACTGGTAAACATTATGCATTAAAATAATGGTTGATGATGATGAAAAATAAAGAAGGCTAGAGGAAGTAGACAAGGACATGAAGTGCAAAGTTTGTAATTGATAGGGAGGATAAATATACACCTTCACTTTTTCGTCACGAATGTACTCTGGTGTGAGTGAGACTGGCTTTTCCATGGCAACTAGACAAAGAACCTGAAAGGTAATGACATTATTTTGTCTATGTATATAAGCCAAGAGCAGATTGCTTTGGTGTCCACATGGTGCCCAATATGCCTCTCGTAACTTGTTAAAATGACAAAATAGCTCAATTGCATTTTACAAACCTTAATTACAGTTGTTCAAAATTAAAAAAGGAAAACTATCACCGTTCAAAAAAAAAAAAAAAAAAAAAAAAAAAAAAAAAACAGAAAATTATCAATTGATTCAAAGCTTAATCACAGTCTTCCAAAATTAGAATCATGAAACATAAAGGACAATTAAATCAAAACAGATCAATTATTCAATCAAAATACAAAAGGGGAAGATTAAATCATATACAATCAAAATGCTGCCTTATACACTATTAAATTTTCCATTCGCAAATTTTTGAAGGATAGTAAGATCAAGAACTCTGAAAGTTTTAATACAAGAAGGTAATTGAGTATTTCATTTTATTTTAATTTTTTCTATCCAAGTCATTTCTAATCCATAACTTTCAATCTCTATTCTTTGATTTTTAATTGTTTTCAATTTTCAAATATTTTAGATTGTTGGTGAAAACACAAAGATTAGAGTTTCAAAGAAATCGCTAAAAGGTAGTTGAGAATTTTATTATATGTTTTAATTATTGATTCTAATTTTATACAGAGTATGAAAGCCATATGGTATTTAGAATACTACACAATATTTAAAGTTTTGCTTTATATTCCCTAATTTGAATTATAGTGACTTATGTATGAAATCTTCACTTGATATTTAATTTTGGTCATGATATTATCTATTCTCTCTCTCTCTCTCTTTTTATTAAAAATAAGCTACCTTAGTACGATTTTATAATTATTTTATAACATTAATTTTACTCCTTTTGTAGCTTTATTGTGAGATGATAATAGACACATCGACAATAGAATATGGATTTTTAAAATGCAAAAAAAAAAAAAAAAAAAAAAAAAAGGAATTAATTCCTCTCTTCGTTGGGGGAAGCTTTAAACAGCTTAATGGATCCGAGTAAACAGACATGAGGCCAGCATATCAACTATAACTAGTTTTTTGGCCCGGGCAATACCTCGGATTATTACATGGAATTGATCATTAATATAAGCTATAATTATGATTCAATTTTCTTGTAATCAAATTTGTTGTTTATCATTTCATTTGCTAGACATTAATATTTTGTATTCAAAAGATTGCATAAAAAATCGCATAGCTTGGTGGTAAGACACTTAGTTCTAGAACTTTTTTTTTTTTTTATGATTAGTGCATGACATGCTATGAAAAACAAACAGAAAGAGAGCCACGTGGTGTAATGAGTAGTTGAGTGGGTGACATGGCATAGTGAGGGGGGTTTATGTGACACGTGGACATTCATAGGACTGCCTTTTAATATATTAGTGTAGATTTCCACAATTGTATGCATCATAAGACTAATAAATGTCAGCTAATTCTGGTGAAGCATAATTAACTCTATCAGCTACCTAACAAGTACACCAGGTATCTGATAACCACAATCAAGGAGGCAAAAGAAGACTACTATAATTCACCAATAGCCTACATATATATTACTCTTACCTGCAAGAGGTGGTTTTGAATAATGTCACGAATTATTCTGCAAATGGAAGAAAATCTCAAAATTAATGACTGATTCATAATATACAAACACTTTAATCACTTTGCAAAACGAATCATTTTTTATCATGATTTCAAATCATTTAGGAGAAAAAGTATTAATAATAAGTAGCTGAGATACAATAGGTTGACCTGTAGAAATATCCTCTAAACTACACCATAAAAAAAATAAATAAAAAAAAAAAAAAAAAAAAAAAAAAACCATACCCATACTGATCAAAGTATCCACCACGACCCTCTGTTCCGAAATCCTCTCTGAAGACAATCTGTGGTGAAGATGAAAGGATAAGAAAACAAGCAAGTCCATAAACAAACATAGACTACGATGCCGACACTTGGGTATGGGTGTGAAAGTCGAGTATGGATGCAATAGTCTGACCTGTATGATTTATTAAATAACTGTGCAAAAGTCGGATCTTGACACAGAAACTTGTCAACAAAAAATATACTTCATCAGATTTTTATAGATGCATCACTTTAGTTTTTGCGGACTCCTAGGCAAGTTTGGAGTAGAGAGAGATAGAGAGAAAAAATAAATAGGGCCCATGTGATAGAAAAAGTGATAGAGAGAATTTATTAGTTAAAAAAAAGTGACGCAACTAACTTGAAACTTCCATTTTAAGAAAGTGATGTAACTAAAAAAAACAAAGGAAGTATAAAATATATTGTGATTTATAATTATGAGATTTAAGAAATAATAAAACTGACTTTTACAACAGAAGAGTGTAACACTGAATTAAATGCGAAGAAGAGATGGAACCAAAGTCACTTACAGCCTTTGATTTTACCTCCTTAAGGAAAATTTGTGTAGAACTACCTGGAAGATAGGGTGTTTGGGGAAGAACTACCCATTTTTTTTTTATTTGTTTACAACTACCCGGAAGATGAAAAACGTTTGGGTAGCACTACCCAATAACGTTTTCCGTCCACATGTTAGTGGGGCCCACTTTTAACCTTTCCCTCCCAATTTACTCCCCCTCCCCCAACTACCTTTTCTCTCTCCTCTTCAATTCCTTCTTAATTTTCCCTCCCTTCTCACTAAAAAATTTAGATTCAAGAATTCAAGCAAGTGAACACAAATTCAGGTAATCTTTCACAAATTTGTACCAATTAATTGTTTTTCGCATTTGTTTACAAGTTTTAGAAGAATGCAATTAAAAGAATTAGGCTTTAAATTTCTGATTCAAATTAGGGTTTATGAGTTCAATCAAATTTGGGGGTTTTGATTTTTAGGGTTTAGGGATTCAATTGAGTCTTTGATTTGGGTTATTTTGGGTTACAGATTGAGTTGTGAAGCATTTTTAAGTACTTTATATTACTAATTGACATTGTAATTGGTAGGATCTCGAGTTCATCATACCACTCTTCTATGCAATATCATCCAAACAAGTGCAATTGTGGCATTCCACCAAATTTAAAGACGTCGTGGACTACAAAAAAACCCCGGGAGAAGATTTTTGGCTTGTAAATTCTAAGATGCTGCAGGTAGAAGAGGATGCAAATTTTTCAAATTGATTTTACCGGAAGTCTTAAGAGAATTTGAAGGTCAATTGAAGAGAGTGAAAGAAGAGGGTGGAGTAATAATGGGGGGAAATAAAAGAGGAGAGAGAAAAGATAGGTGGGGGAGGGGGAGTAAATTAGGTGGGAAAGGTTAAAAGTGGGCCCCACTAACGTGTAAAATGGACGGAAAACGATATTGGGTAGTGCTACCCAAACGTTTTCCATCTTCCGGGTAGTTGTAAACAAATAAAAAAAAAATGGGTAGTTTTTCACAAAACTCTCTATCTTCCGGGTAGTTCTACACAAATTTACAAATAATTAATTACCCCCTTTTTTACACATGTAAATAAGTAATTCCCTCAACAACCCCCCCCCCCCACCAAAAGGGGAAAAAACACACACAAAATGAGGATGGCCCTTGAAATGCTCCCTTCCCTCAAATTATTTTGTTAGTTGCTGTAACGTTTTTAGATGGGTAGCTATTTATTACGAAGTATTACGTACTGCGCAGAGAAGGGTGGCTGGGACCAATGGTTTTCCTCCCCCTACTCAGCAAAAAGTTCTGTTGTTAATCACCAGCAATAGACTAGCCATCAATGAAACTGAGAATACAATTGGTATTGCCTTACTGTAGCAATAGAAATCCCTAGACTTACATGAAGTCTTCATTTAATTGGAGATACATACCATTATCAAATACAAATCCCAAAATCTGAAAATGGATCTTGCTGGTGACATTATCTTTTAGATTCTAAGATATATCTGAATTATGCTAAAAAGTTATGACCAAGTCAATTTACCCTCCCCTGAGTCAGACTCACATTTTCTGTCTCTACCCATGACATGTCATCTATCAATCAAGTGTGGTAAGCGTTTTGCCAAGTCATTTCTTCAGGCATTACAGAAAAATCATCCCCACCTTGGACAACATGAATTTGATAATAAAGTGCATGATAAACACATATAATATGAATTAAATATGGTGCTATTTGCTACTAATTGTTACCCTTTTTTCTTTCTCTTTTTTTTCTTTTGCTACGCATGATGTTCAATGATATTATTGTATTTAAGGCAAGCAGGCCACTGTCTGTTAAATGTCTGAGAAGCTCAAGCTATATTGACATATACACATATCTAACTAATTGAATTAATGCCCATCATCCCACTTCATATTTCCCTTTTCTTTTCTCTCAGGAATTAAAAGTAAACAATTTCTATGCCAAAGATGTAAAATTCTGAAGATCATTTGCTGTATGGTTGCTGTATACTAAATGACTCAAAGAAGATTATCCCCTAAGTTATTAATACAAAATAATTTTTCATATTAGACATAAAAGAAGTCTATATTATGTTATTACCTGTACATTATCAATATTATCGCGGTTCCAAAGGGGTAGGAAAAAGCGATTGGCGAATCGCATTACCAGCTGCAAATTTACAAGATATCAGTATTCAAAGGAAGAGAAGTGGACAACAATTTAGAGTACTTCCTCAAGCAAAACTACCATGTTCTGCACCAACTCTTTCCCCAAGTAATGATCAATACGATAAATTTGTGACTCATTAAACAACTCTCCAATCTGTGAGCTAAGTTGTTCTGCTGATTCTAGGTCTTTCCCAAAAGGCTTTTCAACAATAATTCGTGTCCATCCACCATTGTCAGCTGTAAAATAAATAAGTTTGTATCATTCAGTCAGGATTCTGAAACTACCATTTAACCATATCCTGTGAAACTCAAAGGCTATATATAATCATAGGTTTTAAGAAAACCAGAAGCACATGCCCAAAATGGCCTATCAGAATATAATTAGACATCGTGAAAAAGCAAAAGCATTTCACAGAAAGCATGACCACAACTTTTGGTAAGTTACTTGTTTCGACATACACAGTTTAGTAATTTGACAATAACATTACCGAGAATCTATGAAACTTCTAGAAAAGAAAACATGCATAAAAAAGTTGTTATGACAATACAAATTTCTTATAGATATAGTATTCGAAATGGAAATGAAAATGAATATGGATATGGAATTGGAAATGGAAATGGAAATTTGCTCTCCTCTTATGGAAATATGATTAAACATTCCCACAACACTCATACACTACCAGCAGCCACAAGCCACAACCACAATGAACAAAATTTATATGAGCATACATTTATTCATGCAGTTGAGCTTTATCATTCTGCAGACGGATGGATATACTGAAGGAGGTAGTGCAAGATAAAATAATCTTCTAGACATTCCTTCTAGACGATTCATCTCGTACTCATACTTATATATTTCTTTATCCAACAATTGAAAGCCCTCGTCAGAATCGTAAGATCCACTGACATATTTGACCTGGAACAGTAAGCATGAAAAAAATTATAATTCTTTTTCATCCGCTTGGAAAATAAATACAAAATGAAAATACAAAAGGAGTATTACCAAATCCAAAAAGTTGGAAACATCTTTAGACACCTCTGGTGTTGCATTCTTGGAAGGGGACAAATACCTGAATTCATGAGAAAAACATTGTTTACTCCAACTAGTAGAACTATTCACAATGGTAGCAAAATATTAGCTGGAATAAGTCCATGCACAATTAATATGTATTTTTACTCTGACAGTATAATATGATATGAGTCAAATAGATATGTTCCCTTTGTTCCCAAATAAAATTGCATTTAACCTACGACTCTTGTTCCTAAATAAAAGTCTCTTTTCACCATTATCTATTCATGTATTTACTTTTAATCAACCAAACCCCACCATCATATTATTTTATACAACTTTCTAAAAAATTGTGCAAAAAGAAAATGATACTTTTAGTTTGAGACAGAGGGAGTAATAACATGTAGCTCAAAGCTTTCTATGAAAAGAATCAGAAATATCATCATAAACCTACTTTTAAGAATAAAAATTATTCAGCAGCACAAGATTAGGAAATCCTTTATGACATTAGCCACATTTACACAAAGGAAACATAAATCAAAATATCTCACCCACGAATACGATCCTTCAATTCATCATCTGTCATCTTTGACCTTGCATAACCAAATATATGGACCTCACTTGGAGGAAGAAATCCCTAAGAATATGTCAACAACTCAAGTTAATCAATCTCAAATGCCTAGCAACGGAGAAAACATATGATAGAAACAAGTTGATGTATAACTTTACAAGTCATTAAATAATATACGAAGCAGTTTTTACCCCCTCAGTAAGAAATTAAAAGTCACTTATAGATGTCCACAAAAACATTGTCATATTTTCTAATACAATACTCGTAGTCATAGTCGTTTAAGATTATATTTCCTAAAATGTAGCCACTTGAATATAAGTGCAATCATAATGACATTTTATCCCGTTGCATCACAGGCTTAAAGTCCTAATCCTCTAGAAATAAACATATTAATTCAATCTTCACAATAGAACACCTGAGCTGACCAGATTCTACGATTACTTCAAATAAACAGTTGACTTAATCAAGAAGCAATGGTAGATTAAATTGGGCAGGGAACACTGATAAGCTCCTTTTCTGTTTGGTCCGATAACAAGAAAGCTCAAAATATCTCACATGATCTGCCTTTAATCACATAATTTATATGACGAATTAGTCAACATATATACACAATCAAACCTGGCGGTAGAGGTTGAATAGAGCAGGAAAAGTCTTCTTCTTGGCAAGATCCCCGGAAGCACCAAGGACGATGATAGAAAGCGACCCACTTGCCAGTGAACTTTCAGAGTCCTCTTTGTCCGTAAAAGAATCATTTTTAATCGTGGATCGTTTCTCCATAACCCAACCACCAGAGGCCATTTTTTAGCTGAACAAATTATTAAGTTAATAACTCACTGATTACATTCAAATTAGTACATTAAAAAAAATATATCTAGATTACCATAATCAAATAAAGTTTAGCATCTTTGAATCAAAGAATGATCACTAATTAAAATACTCCCTATAATTGTCACAAAAAACATGCATGTTTCATGATGATCAAGATTGATAACATTTAGGCAGGCTCGGCTCAAGCTCAACAAGCCTCATAATTCAGGCTAGGTCCTCGAAATATTCCGGCACGGCACGGCTCGGCTCGTTGGCTCGATTAGGCTTGAGAAATGCAACACATTGGCTACCAAATTTAACTAAGTTATAAAATTCGATTCAAAAAACTTATAGAACATGAATCATCGCAAAAATCTAGCAACAAAATAGCTGTTAATAAGATCAATATATATAACCAATGGTTTCATTTCATCACTTCATGACATCTCTGAATTAGCAATACTAACAATCAAACCAACAATAATATTAAATTAAACCCTAAATTATGAAATTGATGCTAGATTAAATTATTAAAATTTAAAAAAAAAAAAACAAAACAAAAAATGAAAATACATTTTACCTAAGAAGATGCTTCAATGGGGGGATCTCAGAGTATGTTTCAATGGAGGAGAGAGAAGTGCAGCTTAAAGTGAAAATAGAAACGATGATACGGAGTATAATTGTCTTTTTTATATTAAGAAAATAGAAAGTTGGTATGAAAGGTCGATGAATAAAGAGTAGGTGGTTGACAGGTGATGCATCGTTTCTAGTCTTTCAAGTTTCTACTATGGAATACTCCGTATTGTTTTTGTTTTAAGTCTAATTATGCAGTCTGATTAATACAGCTGATTGTTCGTTTATTCTTCCTACTGGTGTTGCTTTTGACTCTATTTGTGTGTGCGTTTAGATATTTTTCTATGACCAAGTATAGCCCACTATCAAGTAGGGACAACAAAGTTTCATACCTACGTTGAAAAAAAAAATCGCTAAGGGTTGGAAAAACGTCATTTGTTAATTTAATTTGTTATTTTAATATTGTTATATGTTTCTTCAATATTGTTTTCGAGGTGGGTCATTTAGCTCTTTTTAGTAATACTTGTATATTAAAATGCCAAGTGTTTGTATTAAAATGAAGTGTTATATTTGTATACAGTTATCACATAACTGAAATTTGTTATTAAAGAAGACAATACTGTTATTATAAATTAAAAACTGTTAAGCTGCGAGATTTGGTATCTGTAGGGAATATTTCAAGCATCACCCCTAGCTTAAACCCCACTGTGATCATACACTAAAGTATAGTGTCGTCCAAAGGGAAAGAAGATAAAGCAAAAGAGTCGCCAACAAGTTTTAGAAACTTGTAAACCATTGGGTCCAATAATTCAGAATCAGGGTTTTGTTCTAGAGAGAGAAACTCTAGCTTCTCTCTAGCCCTTTGAAGAAGGATCCCGGTGGTTGCCTTCATCGGATTCGCTCTTCAAAGGGTTAGATAGGGAAGCTCGTTTCTTGTTCTTCATTGTTGTCAAAATCAAACCCTAAGGGCATTGGAACTCGGATCTGTTCTTCAACCTTCACTCAAGGCTGAAGAAGGGCTCGTTTTCTGGTGGGTGTGTTGGGCGAATCGACTGCTGGGCGGTGCTGCGAGGTTTATTGGTTCCTTCTTCGACTTTCTGGGTTCTTTGCTCAAGATTGAAGAAGGATCTAAGTTCGGGTTCCGGTGGTTGTTCTGGTTGGCGCGGCGGCTGGGCAGTGTTTCAGGCTATCTTTTTCCCAGCAGCCGGATTGTGTTGAAAGTGTCGATTTTTCATTGTTGGGCTGATTCCGATTGGTTGCTAGGCGGTGGTTTGAGTCGTATCTTTTTCCCAGTTGCTGGAATTCGCTGAAAGTGTCGGTTTTTTTTTCATTCGTGAGGCTGATTCTGGGTTTTTGGGGCTTTAATTTTTCAAATCAAAACCTCGATTTTCTGGGTTCTTGCTCAAAGATTGTTGTTGATTTTCGGGCTAGTTTGCTGCTGGCTGGGTTTCGTTGTCTCTGGTTTTTTCGCTGGTGACAGGGTCCAGTTCAGTGGGTTTGGGCTGTGCTCTGCCCTCTGTCGGTTGCTGGGCGGTGGTTCGGTCTGGTTTACTTTTCCAGCAACCGGAATTCGCTGAAATGGGTGTTTTTTTAGGCTGATTCAAGGCTTTTGGGGCTGCGATTAAGCCTTTGTTTTTCTGTGTTCTGGTATTGTTTGCGGGTGGCTGGGTTTCCTCCCTGGCTGGCGTGGTGTTGCTAGGGGCTGCTTTGTTTCCTGGGTTCTCTTTCTCAGGTTGGAGGTTGAACTCGAGGGTTGGTGGCAGCTCTCTTGAATTGAATATTTGTAGAGGTTAAGGTATTCCCTATTGTTCTCCATTTGTAAAAGGAAGGTTGATTTTGTTTTCTACTTCCCTTTTTATTATCTTTGTGTATTTTGGGAATGCTTCTTTGGTTGTTTCTACTATCTAGGCATATTGTATTGCCTTTTCAGCTTAAGCTTCCTAGTGATTAGTTTTATTGGTTGATGGTCCATGGTAGCGATAATTTGTCCTGTTTTGTATTGTATGCATGCCATGTCGTTGTCCTAGAAAACTAGTTTCCGGGTTGTTATTTAGTTGTGATTTTATGATTATGCCCATTGATGGTGGATAGTTGCTGGAGGTTGACTGTCATAGTTGAGTTTTGGCTTAATTAGCTTGCTTGGTGTGTAGTGGGATGAGACCCTATTTTTATTGCTGTCCTAGCATGAGGTGCTAGCTGATGGCCTGTGTTGTATGATGGGTGGTTTCCTATTGCTACCTTGTTTCTTGCTTCTGCCTGGACTCCTTTTCATGCCTCTTTCATTGTGGTAGTTGTTGCTCTTTTTCCTATCTCGACATCCTATGCTTCATGCTTTGCTTGAGCCTCCTTGTGATTGTTTTGCTGGCTGATAGTTCATGGCTGCGATCCTTTGTCCTGGTCTATACTGCATGTATGCTATTGTTCTGTCCTGGCAGGCTGTTTATGGGGTTGTTATCAAGCGGATTTTATGGTGATACAGGTGGAAATTGTTCCTTTTTTTTATTTGGTGGAGGTTGGTTGTATGGTTGAGTCTTGGTCATTTTAGCTTGCCTGGTGTTTGGTGGGTGAGGCCCTTTTTTAGTGTTATCTCCTAGCATGAGGTGCTAGTTGATGGCTTGGATTGTATGGTAGGTAGTATCCCTCTCTCTACCTTGTGTCTTGCTTTTGTCCGGGCTTCTTCTTTGCCTCTCCTGCTGTGGTGGTTGTTGTTCTATCTCTATCTACGCATCTCTTGCTATATTGTTGTACTTGAGCCTCCTTGTGTTTGTGTTGCTGGCGGATAGTTCATGGCTACTGTTTCGGGGTTTTATGATGTCCTGCGGGAGAGTTACAATTCCGAGACTGGGACCGGACGCCTGTACCTGCAAAACAACGGAGACTCCTGGTGGTGGGAGCTCCGCCTCCAACGGTCAAGTTAGTACTTGATTAAGGAGTAATTAATGCGGAAATTAAAGTGATTGGGTATCTCTAGGTGAGAGTGTTTAATGTGAGTTTTTAGCGTAATCTGCTTTGTTAGCGTGATCAGCTTGTTATCTCTATAATCTCCCTTAATGAGGATTAAGGGAGGTATTTATAACCCTGGGAAACGTGCCAATCCTAGGTTTAGGTTAACCTAGGGCTGATTGGGCTTCCCTTGGAAGTTGGGCCTGGGTGGCCGGTTTCTCCATTAGGCATGGAGTATGCCACGTGTCGTGACATAATAGGTCCAAGGTGGACGAATAAGCGTGTGCCACGTGGCAAGCCCTGACAGTTCCAACTGGGGGACACTTGGCAGGACCTGATTGGCCCACGTGGCGCATTCCGATTGGTGGGAGCAGAATCCCCTAATCATTTGCCCCTCACAGGTGGCACGTGACTGGTCACGTGTTACCTGTGACAGGTGTCGCACTGTAACAGGCGACGGTCAGCTACAGGTGTCACTCGGCGAAAGGCCGAGAGATTCTCCCGCCCAAATTTTGAATTCTGGAAGTGACCCTTCGCCTTCTCACTTCGCCTATATAAAGGAGTGTTGACTTCAGTCATTTTCACACTTGAGAACTTTGTGAGAGAACATTCGGACCCCTGAACTTGCTCTGACATTTTGGACCCTTTCTGCCTACCGCCTGCTCTGACAAGCCGACTGCACAAGATTTTCAGAACTCCATCAACGTCACTCGTTCAGGTAACCGTCGGTTCTCTTACTCTTAATTTTCTCTTTATTTTATTCTTTTTTGAAATGGCACCACGGAAGCACACGACACGACCTAGGTTAGTGATCAGCCTATCACCGGGGACGGCTGAATCTAGGACTAGGAGTGCCGCCTGCCCTTTTCCGGACCCATCTTTGCCCTTTATACAAAGTCCGACTGTATCTGTGTCTATGCAGAGCATGATGGCCAGAACAAAAAAGACTGCCAGGATCTCAAATTCAGACGGCTCCTCCCACAGGGTGCCGATTAGTGAAGCATCTGACCAGGCGCCAGATGTGGAAGTGAAACAAAGCGGCTTGAAAGCCGGCTGTTCTTAGGGAGGAATCAAAGTGACCCCTTCCCATTTCACAGTTGACAATTCTTCATTCTCTCCTACTCCTTTTAAAGGAGAGGAGGCGGGCCCCTCCGGGAGAGGGGAGGAGTCGTCCTCTTCGGACTCGTCAGAGGACGATTCCGAGTCTAGCTCTTCTGGCCATGCTTCTCTAGACACAGAAGAGAAAAACAGTCGCCTGCAAGAGGCAAGGCTTTCTCACGCAGTTGAGAAGGGGGACAATTGGGCGGAGCCATCCGCCTCTTACCGAGAGCAAAATACCCCCTACTACTACACGGTACCTCGGGGCCGGATCACAGCCATGCAAGAGAAAGTGGAGAGCTTTATCGCAAACCACACAATGGGCCCCGACTTTTTAGTGTTCGTGTCGGATCCAGAAGACACAGTCGTTTGGCCGGCTGGTACCAGTTATGATAGCGCCTGCTTTGGCTGCTACGAGGCGGCCATCAAGGCTGGGCTGCGCTTCCCATTACATCCGGCTGTTCAGCGGATCTTGGATGCGTATGAGTTGGGGTTATGGCAGTTAGCCCCGAACTCCTGGGTCAACGTACTCGGCTATGTGGCCGGGTGCGAACTGCACGGGGTGGAGCCGAGCTTCGAGGCTTTCGCCCACATGAACTACCTCAGCCGGACCCCTAAGGCAGGCGGTACCGGCTGGTATCAATTGACGAGCCACAGGGGCTACCTCATGACGAGAGGTAAAGCAAATAAATGGAAGGACTGGCGGTGCACCTTCTTCATCATTGAGAGTTCAGACACAGAGCTGAACAAGCGCCTCAACAGGTGGAACAGGAATCCGCCCCTTCTTGAAGGCGACCGTAGCATGCCGCCTGTTCCCCCCAAGGCTAAGAAAGAGATCCTTGATAAAGGACTCTTTAAAGTAGAGTCGAAGGTGAACTCTACTTCAGGGGTACGAGAGCAAGTACCCCTGCATTGCGTCCCGAGCTTCAAATGGCTCTACGACGAGTACTTTTTGGCCGCCTGTGGCCTCAGCAGTCGGTGCTCAAGAGGTAGTCGGCCTGTCGAATACTCTGCTGTTCCGTGCATTTTGTTATAACTTTTATTAACTTTGCTGTTTGTTTTTGCAGCGGACGCCATGAGCAAAATTACCGCCTCCAAGACTGCGGCGGCCATGTTGCGGGCCTCCATCATGCAACAAGCTTCAACCGACTCCCCCAACAAGGGGGCACCCCTGGTGGGCTTCGAACCTTTCACCCTT